ACCCTCGGAGCCGGCCCAGGACCGAGGCCCGGGTTTCCTCCCACCGATCCGGTGCAGGGCCTCGGGGAGTCCCGGAGTCTGAGTTCAGAGTTACCTTTGGGAACCAGGCGGCCCCTCGGAAACCGATCCCTCGGGAGTCTCGATGGGGGCCCCAGGCCGTTCTTTTCGAACCCTGGACCCCAGCATCGAAAGTGGAAAGCTTGTCTAGGGTGGCCCCAGGCCTTGGCCCGGCCTTAGAGCCCTGCGAGGTGGACACTCGGCCTCTGGCGGGCGCGGGCTGGGCTGCTCTCTCACGCGTCCTGGGCGCCTGGCCCCAAGTCCCAGATATTGCTCTAGCAGTGCTCTAAAATTTGCTGCTGGCTTTTAAGTTTCTTTTCACTGCTCCAGCGTGAACTTTCCCCACCTGGATTCGCTCCCCCAGACCCTGGGGCCTCCTCTGAGCTATTAGGCCCAAGGGCCAGCCACCCAAACCCTTCCGTTCCCTTGACCACCTTCCCAATCTCCGACCCCCTCCCCTACCCAAGGATCGAGGTTATCCGCCCCAAGCATACATTAGCGGTGCAGAACACAAAGGAAGCGCGTGTCCACAGAGGGTGTGTGACTCCAGAGAGAGAGGCCAGGAACCTGGCAATGCCCTGCCCACCGCACCGCTCCCCTCGGACCCAGCCAGTGAATCAGCCTCCTCCTGGGAACAGCCGTGGAGAACCTGGAGCGAGCAGGAGTTCGTAGTTGAGCGGCGGTTGGGTTCGGGAGTTTATAGTTGGGCTCCAAGGAGTGAAGCTCAGGGCTCCGAGGTGGCACCCAGAACTAGGCAAATTCTCCCCAACGCCTCAGTCACCTAGTCAATGTCGAGAGAATCAGCTTTGGGAAGCACAGCAGTTGGCGGACATCTTCCTCCCCCTGTGCAAAATGGACCCTTAAAGTAAAATCTATAAAGGAAACAAATGTCCACAGAGACCCTTACGTTTTTCTCATTAAAATGGTGCTTTAAAATAACTCCTCAATGTCAGAGAAAGACCCTGACACGAGAACGTGATTAGACAAGCGAAGGAATAACAAACTCTAGAGCGGAGGGGGAAGAAGCCTTGGGCGCTTCCAGTTCATGCATTGTTCCCTATTTCCAGGCAATGCACCCGGTGAAGGGGGGATTTCCAGGTGGTTTCTCTTGGCTTGGGGTGTGTGTGTGTGATCTTTATTTGAGAGGACTTAAGGGAAGTAGAAGACCACCTCATAGCCAGAACTCTGAATTGGATCTTTCCCGGGTGTCAGTGGTTGAGTTCGCACTGGATTGCACCAGACCTGACTAGCGTCTCACCTGGATTCTGAGGTCCATAGCACAGGTCCACTTCAGCCCTTTCCTTTCCAGATTCTGAGAAATCGTGCCTCTGATTTCTAAGTCGACTAGCGTTTAGGGGGCTCCAAAATATCCTGGGGTGGCATCTATGAGGGTGCCTCAGTTCCCGGGGCCGCAGAGGGAAATGGGTGCTTTATTCTTACAGTATGCGATATCCCAGCTCTCACAACCCTAGATATGAGGAAGCAGCTAGAAAAGGAAAGGTAGCAGGCGTGAATGTCCCCCTCATCCGGTGTTTGTAATAGGAAAACACATGAGTTTTACAGGTGAAAATCGAACTTCCCATAATGTTTACTAGAAGGGCTAGGGAAAAGGGGGCGGGGGTGACACCCTAGCTGTGCAAAGTTCTTTGAATGAAGCGGGCCGGGCGGTTAAAAAGAGAACCGCCAATGGAGTCATTATGCTCCAAACTTGACTATTTGGAAGAAAAAAGATTTAAAGTAATCTGTTGTTAAACGTTATTTTGACACACGAACCTGTAACCATAGGCAGGACTAAAACTTGCTCCTGTGGCTACTTTTTGAAACCTTCTCTCTCCCAATAGAGTCTGGATCTGAAAATATTGCAAACTCCGCCAAGCTAAGATCTAAGAGTATTGTAAACTCCACAAGCTATTTCGTTTTCTAGCAATCTTACTCTCATGGGAATCTTTTGAGGTTTGAATACTCCCTCAGTTGGGGAATTTTTGTTTCTGAAATTCAGCATATTTAGATCAGGGTGACATAATAACATTTTTTTGCATTCAGTTATCCTAAAGTAATCGGCGTTCTCCTAACTGCACTTAGTTGCAAAGCACATTTAACCACAATTCAGGCAAACATTTACTTTCTGAAGGCAACTTAAAATTATTAAATAGCTACTACATAATTTAAGCAATTTTATTTTTCAATAAATTTTTTCCTCTTGACATAGTGAGGTGTCACATTAAAATACATTATATCCAAATGCTCTGCAATATTACTGCTAAATCAACAGAAAACCAATTGATCTTGAAGAAAGGTTAATTAATTTGGGCTACAGGTCTCCTTTCCTCTGCAATGAAAAGAATTTCTATTGATCGCAGCGGCGTTTTGTAAAGAAATTTAATAAGCATTTTCATATAACTGAAATCAATTTTTTAAATGCCAAAAGAAGGCCTTGCAGTTTAATCAGTCTTAGAATTCTCTTCAGTTATGGCTCATTCAAAACTGCTAAACACGAGAAAAATGTTTCTTATACTTCCAGTGAAATCCGCTTTCTGAAAATGAAAACAAATTTGAGAACTTTACTAGGGTTTTGCTTGTTTTCACTGCATATTATTTCTCACCAGTCTATTCTGCTGTGCAGAAACAAAAAAAAAGTGACAATGGACATTGCGTTTTGCCTTTGATTTAAACACTATCTTAGCCCAGTCAGTGGAAAACAGACTGAGCCGCCCTCTATTTGCAAACACTTCCAGTTGCTTAGTTTCTGCTGAATGAATGGAACTGGCGAGGCTTTCTTTTTCCTTATCTACCATTGGTTGTCTTTTTGTTTTGTTTTTCAGATCTGTTTAAATAGGTTTCAGAGCTGAGCTTCCAAACAGAAGGTGAAAGTAATCATAGCGGCTCTCCTCCGCAGGCGTTCTGCTCACTCTCCAGACGTTTTTCTGTTTCTAAGTGTTTGCTCGGTGGCGTAGTCCGCGGACCCTCCAGCCTCCCGAGCTCTGCTCCCGGGTCAGGTGGAAGGGTCCCCTGCTTCCCCCGCTTCCGGCCCCTCCCCCGCCCGGACAAGATTCCTAAAATCCCTGCCGGGCACCCGCAGGCCCGGACCAAAGCGACGGGACGGGAGGCCCGGGTCGCTCCGGGCGGCGCTCTCCGGAGGGTCCCCGCCAGCCCCTGGAGCCACAGCTGTTTTCCAGGTGGCCGGGCGCGGCGCCCCAGCCCCGGGAGCCGGTGGCCGGTGTGTGCGGCTTGCAGAGGAACGGATTACGCAGCGGGAGCCGCTCGGCCGGCTGGCCGCGGGGCTGCGGGACGGGGACGGCGGCCGGCCTTCTTTGTTGACTTTAGGTTTCAGGCTCCACAGAAGATTTATTCGCTAGGAGGGGAAAAAGCCCAAACAATGAAGAACTAACTGCATCGGTCACCTCGAGATGAGGTGCTCGCGGTTCGCTCTGCCCGCCGCTCCCCAGCAACCATCTGTCCCGGGCCCCAACCTGCGAGCGTCCAGACGCGTCTTCCCCGGGTGGAGAGCGTGGCTGGGGCCCGGGAGCCCCTGGGGCGGGAGGCGCCTGTGCCCCGGGGCCCGCGCTCCTAAGACTGTGGCTCTCCTTGCCCGCTCCCGGGTCACCACCGTTACCTGGCCTGCGAGCATCTCCCCCTGCAAAATCCGGGAAAACTCCACGAAGACTAAAAGGACAAGGCTAAGACCAACATAAACCTGGTGCAGTCAAGCAGGAGGGAGGGTGGGACGTCCCGGAGGACTGCGCAGAAATCAGACTTTCGACTCAGGGGACCCTCAGAAAAGCCAAGACTTGGGCCTCATTTTGCCGCCGTTTGTTTAACCCGTTATATGTATAACTGTTGAGATCGAAAACTTTTTCCTCTCTGGGGAATGTTTAACGTCCTTCTGAGGTCTTCAAATTAAGTTTTGAAATGACTCAAGCCAGCTATTTCTCTTCCCTCCTCCTTTCAGTAGTTGAAGAGAACAGACCTGGGATTTCTGGATTTTTCTCGAGTGCTTCGTGGCACCCTTCTCTCATCTGGGGAGGTAATTACGCGATAATTAAGCGACTGGCAAGGCTCTTTTTATCTTGTCCGCGGTGTGGAGTGGTGCGATCAAAGTAAAGGCAGTCCAAGTTCAAGCCCGAAGAGGATGGAGTTCACTCACAAGGGCTCAGGCAGGCCAGCTTCTGCTTGGGCTAGTGCTGTTATTGTTGATGTCAATCTGAACAAGACTTACAAAGAGATAGGTGGACCGGAAAGCGAGCCTACTATCAAAGGAGATTAATGATTTTGTGATCTCAAGCAACTTGGGGTGTGAAGTTGCATTTCAAAGCTTCTTACAAGGCAAACAAATCATGAGCTTTGAGTTCTTAGAAACAATATTTTTAAAATATCTTCACAAAACACAAAACAGCAGCTACTATCCTGAAATACTCCAGTGACACAAAGCTTCCCTACAGGCATGAACCAGCTGCTCTCCTCCCCCTCTCCAAAGCCACCAGCTAACTTTTGTTTCTCTCTTAATAAGAGGGTTCAGAGCCTGTGGTAGACAACTTAATTTTATCAGTCACAGCTGATACTTTATTCTCATTCGAATGCTACTCAAATTTGAAAAAAGAATATATTGTGGAATTAATAACACTGAATTTCATACCAGAAAACAGCTCAAAAGAACACAGAAGGCTTAAACGTGTGCCTCCCCTCCCCGAAACTGAAGTAAACGTTACTGGGAATAAGCAATTTTAAAAGCCTCAGTTCTTGGAATATTGTCAGGTTATCTACCTGCTTTAAATGAATTTCTTTCATTGCATTATACTAGCTACGTGTTCACTTAAATCATAAATGAAACAATTTGTTTTAGACTATACTCCTGTTTGCCACTTATATTAAATTACAGAATTTGAAAAATATATTCCAAAGACTCATTTTGGATTTAATTAGGTGAAGGAAAATGACAGAAATACTTTTTGTCAACATTTGATTTATTTAAAGTCCTTAACTGCATATGATCAGGAACATATTCCACGGATTAAAATCTTGTATTATTTTTGTTATTTAAATCAAAATATCTTAATTACAATCACATTGATAAAAATTAACATTTTAAATTTGTAATTTTAACCATCATTTAAAGCAATTTCAGCTGTAAAGAAAAAGAATAAACCATGCAATAAATTAACATTGAGAAGGCAAAGAGGAGTAATAATGAAACCCGTCTGGCTCTAACTAACACCACGTCCGATTGTGGAAAGTGCATTAACACTGCGTGAGAGGAGCAGAAGACAGCAATAACTCAAATGGTCACATCAGGACTCTGGAACCTTGGACCAAATTTTGAAATACAGTTTCTTATAACCTCTCTCCTCAATGTGTGATAGTCCTTTTTTTTCTGGGAAAAAAAGTCCTTTAAATGGTATACATACACAGATGCTAATTTTATACATGTGACCTCAGAATAAGACCGTGGTACCCTGAAACACAGGGAGCAGAGTTCTGGAAGAAGGTAATTCCTAAGGATTGATTTTCAGGGCCATTTGTGGGTAGAAGGCAAGTGTGTGTTGGGGGAGGGGCAATCCTTGTAACTTGGTCAGGCAACTTTTGAAAATGTAGCATGTAAATCACCTGCCTACTACCTCTACATGTTATACAAAATTGGATGAGGTCTACATATCTGAGCATGATTAAGTCCATAGACAATATATATATATGTATTTCATTTAAAGACATCTGCTATCTGAATGCATCAGAAATGTAAGCTGAAAACAAGTGGCTCTGATGTTTGTAACCTGTTTATACCTTACTGCATATTTGCAGGTACTGCCTTCCAATACTTTCAAGAGCCCCTACTGTTTGTCTCTTCTTCATCTCAGTTCTTACTAGGGTAAGAGTATTGCCACAGACCTGTAAACTCATGTGGTGGGCCTCGATGAGGAGGGGCCAAAAAAAAAAAAAAAAAACACAAACAAATATTTTACAAACTTGACCATCGTTCTTTTTTAAATAAGCCCTGCTAAGACTATACTGTGTCCGCAGGGGAACCGGAAAACGGGAAGAGGGCAGGGAAGGAGGAAGATTTTCTGTATATACACTTGTGGATCATTCAACTTTGCAGGGAAAAAAAAAGTTGTTGGTATGGGGTTGGTTGTCTTCATAATAATATACACAAGAAATTTTGAATACAATAATAAAGTAACAGTCCTTTGCACTGGGGAGAAACGGTGTATGAAAAATAAAAAGAGTTGGGATTTTACTATGTGGTTGGTTTGGTATATGTGGTTTTGTTTGCTGTTGGTTTTTCTCTCTCCTGCTACCAGCTTGCCCACGCAGACAAATCCCCAGTCCCCGGAGCTAGGAAGTATTTAGGACAGGTCTGGAATACACACCTTGGTAGTAGGCCGGCTCCAGGGCTGAGGGCTCGATGGGGCTCCTAGTGGCTACAGAGGCGCTGCCAAGAGGCAAGCTGGCGGGCAGGGTGGCGCCATAGGGAGAGTACTGCAGCGCCTGCTCATAGGCCTTGAAGTCCAGCTTGTGCTGTTGCTCAGAGGAGGACATGAGGTTGTTGATGGAGAAGGGGTGGTTAAAGGAGTAGTGGGGGTCCCCTTTCAGGTGCAGCTGAGATTCGTGGGGTGCCAGGGCGTGAGCCGGGTGAGAGGGGGGCACAGATGCCAGCGCCCCTGGCCCGGAGCTTATGGGGGGCGCAGACGTAGAGGCTGGACTCTTCAACTCCGAAGCGCCCCCTGTCGCCGTGGCCCCGCTGTGGTCCATGGTCTGGGGGCTGGCTGCGGGCCCGGGGGCCGCGGCGCCCTCTAGCTGGCCAGCCTTCCCGTGCACACCCCTATGAAGGGGCGACTCGGCGCTGGGGTTACCCGCGCCTGAGGGGTCCTTGCGGCTTTCCGGGCCGCCCTTGGAGGCGGCAACCCCGTTCCCGCTCCCGCCGCCGGCCCCCGTCTGCTTTTCACACTTGAAGCGCTTCTGACGGCGGAGGTAGCAGCCGTTCTCGAACATGTTGCCGGAGTCCGGGTGCAGCGTCCAGTAGGAGCCCTTGCCCGGCTTGTCGGGGGACCGCGCCACCTTGACGAAACAGTCGTTGAAAGACAGCGAGTGGCGGATGGAGTTCTGCCAGCGCTGCTGGTTCTGGCGGTAATAGGGGAAGAGGTCCATGATCCACTGGTAGATCTCACTCAGCGTGAGCATCTTGCTGGGCGCCTGCTGGATGGCCATGGTGATGAGCGAGATGTAGGAGTAGGGCGGCTTGGCGTGCGGGTAGCTGCGCTTGAACGTCTTGGCGTCGCCGCCACCGCCCGTGCGGCTGCGGCCCAGGTTGGAGGGCGCGTACGCCATGGGGCTCATGCACGGGTTCATGGCGGCCGCGTAGGGGCCCAGGCCGTTCATGGAGGCCGCCGGCTGCGCGCCCATGGAGCCCATGCCGCCCGGGCTCAGCGCCGTGCCCATGGCGGTAACACCCGCCGCGGTCATGCTGTTCATGGCGCCTGTAGAGCCCCCAGGCATGCCGGCCACAGCACCGGGACTCAGGCCGGCGCCCAGACCGGGGTTGGCATAGGACATGTTGAAGGAAGCCGGGGTCATGTTGCCGCTCGTGGTCATCGTGTTCATGGTCATGTAGGTGTTCATGGAGTTCATGGAGCTCAGGCCGGAGTTCATGTTGCTGACAGGGACGGAGGAGTAGGCCTGCAGCGGAGACAGCGAGTGAAGAGGCCCCGAAGGGCGGGGTTAGTGGTGCGCCCAGCAGTTTGGCCCGCCAGGGGCGAGCCCTGGGGCATGCGGACATTTTTCTAAAGCTCGGAAACGCCCCAGCTGGGGCCATCCTCCCAGAGCGTGCAAAGATGGCTTGCACAGGACGGTGGGGGGGGGGGGCGATATCTTAGCAGGCAAGAAAGATTGGCGATCTCAGATGGGAAGATGTGTAATCGTTTTACTCGCCAGGATCAGGGGCTGGTTTCCAGGGGGCCCTTCACTGCCTCAAACTCAAACAGGCAGAATCCCAAGTCTCCACCCTAGACTAACTTGGATAAACTACCTTTGGGCCAAATCATCTTTAAAACTCCGAAAGTAGAATTAATGCCTGACGGTTCCGCCTTTGACTTTGTCGCAACCCTCCTGTGGGTGCCACACAGGCCTGCTGGAGGCTGATGGGCACGCGGACCACACCAGCAGTAGTCGGAATTGTGCTAAATGGCTGCTAATGAAGCTCACTGACTGAGCATATCGTCTAAGCCGATATGATTCCCCACACTGGTTATCCATTTCCCAACAAGGCGCTTTGTCTCAAGAGTCTGTGCTAAATGATGGCTTTCTGTTATTAAACGCAGAAGTAGGGCCTTGTACCAACTGCAATGACTTAAAAGGAGCAAACTCATCATTCATGATTTGGAAAAAGAAAATAAAAATAAGGTTCACAACGGGAGAGACTGGAATGATGCATAATAACACCAATGCAAGGCATACCTTTGAGGTAAACGTGACTTTACATGTACACCCCTGCAAGTCATTCCAAACTTGCATTAATTCTGTTACCTGTTTGCAGCCCCCTGACATTTGTAAATGTTGACACCACTTAAATACCGACCCCCCCCCCAACCCTTAGTTGATGCTGCTCACTTGCAAAGCCTGGGCTTTGAAACTACTGAGCAGTTTGGAACAATTTAAAATTCCACCATCAAACTCTCATTTCTTTCTCTTATTGCTGTTCCACTTCCTAATTCTCAGCTGTAATATGGAAGAGAGCCTTTCATAGGGGTCTTCACTGACGGGTGGGTCAAAATGACTGCATCAGAATTAAACCATTCTAGAAGTGGTCTAAGCTCTTATTAAAATCATCAGCAAGTGAAAATCCTCATCCACAGCAATCCCGGGACCTATCAGGTTTTGAAAATACAGAACCCAGAACTACTAAAAACTACTTATCTAATAATTTAACAAACAATTACGATGTCCTTGAATTTGTGTTCATCAGCAAATATAACTTCATTTGAAAAGACAAGAAATGAATAGATTTAAATAGGAAGACCCAGAAAAGGTAAAGTTCTCAAATGAACGCAGAGATGAATTTGTGCATATAAATCTAACTAAATTGCCATGAAGATATATCTCGATTCTATATTTTCTTGCCCACATCGTGTCTTCACACTTTTTGCTTTTTTTTTACTTTGGACTTTTTCCCCCCTCCCTCTTCCCAGGATTGTACAAGGCCGTTTCAATAAACGTTTTCAATAATGGTAATCAAACTTTTCAATGTAATAGGCAGCTGTTTCCAGAAAAGTACTTTTAGTTATAGTATTTCTGCCTGTACCTGATTTCCCTAGCAATGCATTTGTGCACACTGTAAAATAAACCCCATAAATGTGCCTCCAAGGGGACAATGAAGAGAAACAGGTTCTTGGCCCCGAGTTCTAGAAAAAGATTCGGTTCGCACCAGCGCCACCCAGCGGCTCCAGGGAAGAATGAGCACTCTTCTCTCCAAAACCGGCGTTTGTACAAGTTTTATAAAATTTAGGGATCATTCATTATGAAGAAGCCCAACTTTGCGGCAGATCATTTTTATCCAAAGACGTTGGCAATTGAAGTGGCAGGACTAAGAGACCGCCCCATAAGCGAGGACACACTTTCTCGGAGTTGCTTGCAACTCGTGCCAGCGCCCGCCAAGCCAATGCGCGTCACCCGGGACCGGCTCCGGCTCCCGCTCTCGCATGGCAAGTGCTTCCCGGAGCGGGTGTTTTCAAAGCCCAGAGTTTCCTAAAAGTCTCTAGCCAGTGGCCGGCGCCGGAACCCACCGGGCGGGCTCCGAGGCCGGCCCTCCGGGTCCACGCCGGGCGGGCGCGTAGCGGAGCTTCCGAGGCGCCCCCCACCCGCCAGCCTCTGCCCCTGCGGGAACCCAGCTCTCCCGGGTCTCCCCCACCACCGGCTCCGGGGACGCCCCGCCGCCCACCCGCCTCTCACCTCCTGCGTGTCCGCGTAGTAGCTGTTCCAGTCGCCGCTCTCATGCCCTTCCATCTTCACAGTCCCTAACATCCTGGAGCCACCCTGCCAGATCCAACCATCCAGCCCCGTGCGGAGCGACGGGCGGCCGCGCGGCGCGGGGCGGGGGAGGGGAGCGCGGCAGCTGCAGCCGGCCCAGTGCGCGTGGGTCCAGCGCCTCCCCAGCCGGGAGGAAGCCGGCTACAAAGTCTTTTGGCACCCATTCTAGTGGTTGGAATTTAGTGTTAGTTGAAATTAAATAACAGCTGAGTATCAGCACTCAGGAGGCAGAGGCAGGTGGATACTCTGGATGTTCAAGGCCAGCCTGGTCTATATATGGTGAGTTCTAGACCAGCCAGAGTTATATAGTGAGACCCTGTCTCAAAAAAACAAACAAAAAAGACAAACTGCAAAGATTCATTTAGGAGATCAGCCAGCATGGTAACACATGCTTATAATCCCATCACCCAGCAAGTAGAGGCAGTAGAGCATGAATTGGGGACTGGCATGGGCTACATAGTGAGTTTCAAGCCAGCCTTGTCTACATAGAGAGACTCTGCCTCTAATCAAAAACTCTAACAACTAAGTAAATAAGGTTTCTACACCCAACCTTTTAGTCCTTTTCCCAGAAGCAAATACCTATTTCTTTAAAATTTTTTACATTTGTGTGTGTCTGTGTGTGTGTGTGTGTGTGTGTGTGTACCCCTTTGGAAAAGGAAAAAAGAAAAGCAGGCGGTGCCGGGCGGACTGGCCAGGGCTGTAGATCCGTGCTGCGGGAGTAGGACCCGGGCGGTGGCGCGGGAGCCCCGGCGCAGGGACGGTGCTCGTTAAATGACCCGAGTTCGCTCCCCAGAGGCGCTCTCCACCCTCTGGACCCCGCTACTGGTCTGTAGGCCCTCCAAGCTTCTCTGCTTGTTCCTGCCCGGACCCTCTTGATTCCTGACCCAAAGTTCAACCCTGGGAGACCCTCCCCTTCCCTTTTTTCCTGGGCTTCGGGCTTTTAGAAACAGGAAAAAGCCCTACTTTTGCCTAGTCACTAGAAACCCGGTCATCTGAGTCAGCCGAGCTGAGTGACGTTAGGCGGACCTGGGCTTCTGGCTAGTAGAGCGGAGGCGCTGCCACGAAACTCGTACCTGCGGCTAACAGCAGGTGAGTCACAGCACCGTTTTATATTTTTATGACATAACTTTTCTTTTCCGCCTCAGTCCACTCCACTCCCCTTGTCATCTGTAACGATCAGAAAGAGGAAGAAACTGAGAGCAGATGTCTGTGTGATAGGGCAGGCGGATCCTCGTCGAGCCTGCCTCTCTCTGCCCGGCTCCTCCTCCCACCCCCCTTCAGCAGCCTCCCGGACCGAGCTGGAGGCGACCGTCTGGTTTCTGATAGGGAAAGGCCAGGGGGAGGGGACATCTCCCTAAACGCCGGCGTTAACCGAGAGCTCTCAGGCCTGCACGCTGGAGAACGCGTCTGCACGGTTAAAAAAGGTTCCACGTTGCCAGAGCTGCCCCACAGTGGTGTCTGGTCACGTCTGTAACAAGGAAGAGCTGGGCTAGGACCTCGGGCTCTCTCTTGGTTCATAATCTGCTCTGGACCTCTGTGGAAAATTCTCCCTCTTGTCTCCTACCAGTTCCTGGGGGTAGTGGATTACCTCCATGTCCCCGGGAAAGAGACCAGCCAGAGATTGGATTGGATAGTCACTGAATTTGTGATAGATTGGGAGAGTGACTGTATGCTTGTTTATGTTTACTGAGTGTGTCTCTAAGTGAATGTGACTGTGTGATCACGCATGTGTTGCCATCCTGTAGAGTAACTAGATTTCCTTAAAAGAAGCAATAAAATAAAATCTAAAGTGACTAAGACTGTGCAATATTCTTGTTTTGAAAAGTTTAAAAAAGAAATTAATCTCATTTGAAGCAATGTGTTTTTACTTGTCTTCCAAATAGATACCCCCACCCCCTTTGTTCTTTTAAATCTCTCTTCCTTGAAATCTGGCAAGAGAATCACGTTAAATCCTTGAACCAAACAAATCTCTTAAATCAGCAGGGGAGCAAAGAAGGTGAAGATGTGTAGTTAAGGAAATAAAAAAGATAAAAGCATTGGATTACAATTCCTTTTTGAACGACAACAACAAAAAAAACTGAGGGGGAGGGCACATCACATTATAAGGAAAGGAATGAGAGTGAAATTAAATCCACTTGGAACTCAGCAGAGCAGGCAACCTTCCCCAACTGCAGCCTCTCCGGTGACTAGAAGTCACTCCCCTCAGTTGTGTAAATGTACTTGTGGATGTGTGTCAGAAACGAATTCTTTTGTGCAGTTTCCATCAGCAGCAGGACCTCCGTTTCATTTGTAAAGTACACGGATGCTGAGTGTCCTCAGCCTGGTCCTGGGGACTTCCAGGGCTAAGAAGCTTCCTTGTTCCTTTGCGGGTGATTCTCTGACGCCTTCTTGGCTCTCCTACAATGTGCAGCATGACTAGGGCATTTTCTGTGGGTAGTAACAACTTAGTAATACCTGATGCCTTGGGGTGGGGGAGGAACGCTGTCACCTTGAAGGGGGCTAATTAAGATATCATATATTCTTTCAGCCTATTTTCCAAACCTACTAGCTTCTTCTAAAAGTCAATTTAAAATGGGAGGGGGCCGTGGTGTGTGAGCAAAGTGAAGTTTCTCCCAAGTGTCTTCTAACACCAAGACTTCGTGGCACAGTCCTTGGACCGAGAGATTTCCCAAAACACAGTGCCTCCTGTGGTAGAGATGCAATGCCAGATTCCCCTCCGATATCCCTCGGTTTCACAGGGTTGTACTGGATTGAACCCTGCAGGCTTCTTCAGCAAGGGATTTTGATTCTGAGTTAACTACCTGAAGCCCCAAAGAAGAAAAGTGGCAGGTGGGTTACATCTAACACCTCTGAATTTTAGAGGAAACATTTCTAGACACCTAACAAATTCAATAGGTGTTTTAGTGTACCAAGAGGTCAGTCAGTTTGCCTCAGGTTTTAAAAGTGGATCAATAGGGTTACTTGGTTTTTGACTTGGAACACACACACCCACCCACACACATGCCCCGGCTCCCATGCACACAGGCCCAAGCAGCAGGAGAGAGAGAATTTCTATGCCCTGTTCCACACTCCCTCCATATCCTTGCAGAACTACTTTGGCAAAAACTGTGTTGTTCGCTGGGACAATTAAACCTATCTTCAGCTTTGGGGGGGACTAGGTGAACTCGGGAGAGGGAAGCCAGTTAAGAGCTTCTGGGATAATTCAGGCCATAATTACATGGGTGAGTACCCATCTGCCATGCCTAGGGCTGCCCAGGTAACCTGAAGGGAGCCAGCGTGGTCAGGACTGTGGCATGCCTGTGTACTCCAGAGAAAGGCTCTGCCATTCCCGGACGTTGACCCTACTATGCCTTGGCCTGCTCTGCGGGCTGAAGGGAGGTAAGACACAAAGTTCACTAACCCAACTTGTTTGCCTCAGCTTACCTTTCCCAGCACGACCTGGCCCTTCCCCTCACCGGGCAGGAGGCAGAGGGCACACGGATGAAAGAAGGAAGAAAAGGCTGCAGGTTCCTATCTGGGGACCAGCTGGTGGCCTCTCCTGATGCCTATGGCCTTGCTCTGCATGGTTCCCTGGACCTTCTTGAGGGCTTCCCTTCTTATCCCTTGTCTGTCCCCCTTCCCCTGACCCTCCCTTGCGTCTCTGGGCTGTGATCTGGTCAAGGGCGCGATGGGCTCAGCCATGCTCTATACCGGGTGGTCTGAGTTCCTCCCGGACCCCACCTCCCAGCAGATAAGAAGCTTAAGTCCTCCTCCAGCGGGAGAGAATCAGACGCTCTGAAACTAAGACCTATGCTCTTTAACTCAGTTCAAAGCCGACCCCGACTGGGACCTGACTCAGCTTAGGAGTGCGCGCGGCAGGGATGCTAGAAGCAGCTGCTTGCACTCGCGTGTGCCCGGCCCTCGCTGTCTGAGGTGCGCAAGGCCGGGAAAGGCCCCGTGACTCCAGCAGCCCGCCACTGTCGCGCCGTGTCCCGCGGCCTTGACCTGCGGGGCCATCGCTACCCCGACCAGCCTGAGGGTCAGGGGAGTCCTTCGGTTTCCTCCTGTCCTTGAGCGGCTTCTCTTCCTTTACTTTCTGTCCTCACGCATTCCTTTCTCTTACTCTTTTTTTTTTTTTTTTTTTTTTCCCACAAACTAGAGCTTGGCTTTTGCACCATTAAGTCCTCATTAAAGAATCAGTTCACCAGGACATACAAGGTGTCCAACTTCCAGTAGGTAAGAGCCCTGGGACCACCTGACGGACCCTGTCTAGCCAGTTCTGTGCCAAGTCCTCTACTGTTGGCGGCCACACCCTGGGCCATAAGTGCCTTGCACCACACATACTGCATCTTCAGGGTTTTCGCTGATTTTGTTAAAAACAAAACCGGCACTGGGTTTGTCCTTCTCTCGCTCCCGGAGGGGTTACTCCCGGGTTTCTTAACGTTCCCCGGGGTGGCAATCCAGGCTGGTCCCCAGCCGGATGTCTAAGCCGGAGCTGCTCCCCACCTGGCCCGGCCTGAGGGCGACAAAACGGTCTGTCTGGCCGCCAGAGAGCTTCACCTCGCCAAGATCAACTCACATTTTCATGTATTCAAATGAGCCATGTTAGGAAGGGCGACTTGCCTCCCAGGCAATCAACAGCCTTGGAAGGAACAGTTAAGCACAGTCACCAGACAAAACAGGAGCATCCTTTGCACCGGGGGCCAGACTGGGATCCCCACCGCCGTCGTGCAACCGAGTCTCACGAATTGGACACTATTGTATCCATAACCCATCAGCACCATCTGGAAAATCTGCTCAGAGGCAGTCAGTCCCTCCTTTCTCAACCAGACCCTGGGAGTGCGGAGACCACCTCTGTCTACTTAATGGTGTTCGGTGGTCTCACTATCCTTAGGTGGTCAGCATCAAATAAAAAACCTTAAGGGTTTCGCACAAAGAATTAGACAATTTTGCTTTTCCAAGTAATATTTCTTAAGTTGAGAACAGAAAAGGAGCCAGAGTGGCAGAGGCCCTACTGTGCATCCCAGACTGGACAGTTCCCCCAGCCTGCTGCTCTCCCGTGTTAAAGTGCTGGGAGAGTGGAATCCTGAGCAAAGGTAGATCAAGATTCACCCCCTTCACAGACATAAGCGCCAACTAATGGGGAGCAGCCAGGG